TTCTGCTGGATAGTGTGTGTATGTACGGTGTGTATATTTGTGTGTTTGTATGCGAACGAGCGAGCGAGCAACCGTGCATCCAGACGGTGTTTCCCAATCAGTTTAGCATTAGCGCGGAAAAGTTCTAATTACTTCGTGTGTGGCGAATAACCATTAGTTCCGTGCTTAAACATTTTTTTACGCTCGCTCCCCGCTTGTTCGGTAATATTTCGAAGTGAATACACACATACCGTACAAGTGACGAAATAATTATGGAATTTGCAGAACCCGATTATATCGTTGAAGTTTGTTCGTTTAAATATTTAGCACGTAACATGGCCTTGTGTGACGTGTGCATACGACATAGATTCAATTTTAAAAAATTGTTATGTCATTTCGCGGAAACATACATATTTCAAGCGGACAATTTGTTTTCGGCATCTTTTAGTTTCCCACCAATTGAAAAAAACCGGTAAAAATTTGTTAAATTACTTTTTACCTTAATTTTTCTACATGATATATAAGTAATACATCTTTAAACACTAATTTATTTTTACAATTGATAACCTATAAAGTTATTGACAGTTATTGACAGCAGAAATATTATTGAAAATAGAAGATAAAAATATTGACAAACTATTTTTTTACTAATATCATGTATAAATAATTCAAATAAACTAAAAATTAATTAATTAAAAAATCTTATGTAAAATATTTAATTATAATTTACGAACTAGAAATAAAATATTTTTCAAAAATATCTATTTTTCGCTATAGAAATCTAAAATAATATCAATTGAACAATCATTTTATTTCACGAGCTATGTAATATTTAAAAATATTATTATATAATGTTATATTGTTATATAATATTGTTTTATATATTTTATACTTTTTTCTCTATTTATTATTTTTTAAAATGTTGTTAAAAATTATATTTAAAATAATATCATAAAATTATATTAAAAATGTGCAACATAAATTGTAAAAATTTAATAATTTTAATATACATTAATTAAAAAACATTATGTTTTGCCAAAAAGACTAAACTAAACTGAACTAAATGAAGATTGAAATGTTAAAAAAAAGGTTTGTTTACACATCATTGTGTATAATTAAACATATTATTTATACATCTGCATTTTGATTCTTATTTGCTCTTAATTACATTCTATTTGACTGATTAATTGTCAGAGCCATTTGATTCTAATACTTTGTATATTAAAAATATGTTTAATATAAGAATTCGAAAATTTTGAACTTCCTATTTCAATTAATAATTTTAATTTTTACATTTTTCTGAATAAATAAATTTCTACTCATCATCTTTGCGGAAAATAAATTTTTAAATAATATTTAATTTCAACGAAGTTACACAATTATTTCTAATAATTCACATCTTGAATATCCTACCATTGACAAGGATATCAAATTAATCAGACTCCGAGACATTTCATAAGACAGGACTGGAGCTGCATGAAGAAGGCGCCGGCTGATTATCATGCCCTTGCCTAGAAGCAGCAGCGTAAGGGCACCGTAATATGTCTGACGTATGCGCGCGAGTTAAATTAAAGTTTGCCGGCAGCCGAGGAAACAGCCGCGGCGCCTTGTTTCAAAGCTGTGCGTTAACTGAAAGCCCAAAGTAATCTCACGTACCGATCCCATCGCGGCTCGTGCCGGCGCTTTAATGTCCGCGGAAAACGTTATCCACGATTTTTCCCCAGTAACAAAGGGCAATTCCGTTTTGCGATTAATTGCCGCAGCGCATCCGTTTCAAACTGCCTGTCTTCCTCCCCTGCATTTAACGTCGCTGATCGTATTATTTTCTCTTATCTTATCTTATCTTATTTTATAAATATTTGCATAAGCGAAATTCACTCGGAATGCATCCTAATTATATTTCTTCCGGCAAATATAGCCCGTGAGCGCTATAAGCGACATGCAATTCGTATTTCGATTCTGCACAAACTACTTTGTAATAGAACATTTTGATAAAATTAGATATATCCAAGTTGAGGGAGAAACTCTCGAAATAATTTATAAATGTGTAATAAACGAAGATCTCGCGCAAGTATAAATTTAATAAACTGATATATATATCAAGCAACTTTCTAAACGTGTTCGAATTTAATCTCGAATTAAATCTGCAATTAAACTATGACGTTCTATCGTTGGAAAATATCTTGTGAAAATCAAGTAATAAGTGATTTTTGAATTTTATTTTTGTCAAGTTACAAAATTTTGTCAAACTAAAATATTTAAAATTTATCAAACTACTACAAATCTTTTTTACAAATTTTTCATAGCTTTTCGAACTTTATTAGCACATTCGCTCCGATAAACCTCTCTCGTAAGCTGTGCCGCGTAATGTACACGGTTTCGTAAGCTTATGACATTATAGTACTATAATCGGAATTTATATTCTGGAAACACGAAACTTGCATTCCGACCGATGCAATTATTCCTCCGTCCATTGCGGAAAACACATGTAATTTTCCGGTGAGTTTCTCGCTATCATTGTCACGCTGGGACTAATTTTACACGTTGTCGACGAACCGTTGTCAAAGTATCAGACAGCCTGATATCCGAGATGCTACTTAGACATTCGCTACTCAAATATTCCCGAGGTTTCCGCACGACTGGGTCAGATGACATTCTCACATTTAACACACGCATACATTTTGAAATACAAAACATGTGTCGCACATTGTCGTCCACTAATGGAGTTCCAGATGATGTAGCGCATTTCTATGATATGCTTATGTTTCATACATATCATACAATTACAAGAAAAAATGAATTGTTTTGTGAAGCAAAATATGTATTCGTAGATATTCCATGATTGTATGAAATTAATATCGTATTACGCTAAGTATCCTCAATTTAAACAAATGTTTTTTATTTATTATCACAAAACAATTTAAAAAATTAAAAGCATAAAAGAAGAAAAATAAAAAAGGATGCTAATGATAAAAAAGGATGCTAATGTGAAAAAATGCAAAAGAGTGAAAGAGAAGAATATATGCCAGAAAAAATATAATCTCTGTGTTGCGATTATTTTAATATTACGAAAATATCTCTCTGCACAGTTGTTCGATCGTGCTAACGATGAGGGTCGTTATACACATATTACACGAACACCACAGAATATGCCCCGCGTATACGCATTCTCCTGACTGTCAAGCGCTTTTCGCGTACGCAGAGAGCTTTTTAGCGAACTGTCAAACTTCGCCGAACCGCGAATTACTCATTCCAGCTACTCCAATATACTCTCGCGAATCAAAGACCCCGGGATTTCACGAGCGAGGACTCGAAACATCGATCCTGGACCATGACGCGCCGAGAGATCGTCGACAGACTGAGCGACCAATCCAGTGGATTCGCGTTTAATCGTTGACAATGCTGAATATAATCCGCGTTTAACAGATTTCACGAAAATATTTCTATTATTCTCTACGACGTTATAAAATTCGCATATTCCCATCTATTCCGCAAATGTAAAAATGTAATAAAGTTCTATGAAATTTAAATAATTTTTTATAAATCTCTTTATAAATATTTTATGAATCTTTTTTATAAATCTCTCTCTATTTCTCATTCGATGATTAAAAATATTTTAATAATATTATCTACGAATCAATGCCAAAATAAATAATTGTGTTTAATATTTTGATAGAATGCTTTCGAAGAATAAATTTCAATCCTGCTTAAATTTATCAGATTATAGTGCATAATTTTTATACTATACCTACGAAAATTCTAAAAGAATTAGGACACAATGTTTGGAGATAAAATTTTTCAAAGCATATAGTTTCCATATATTTAATTTTACAATTGTAAGATTAATCTTTTAATCTTATTAATCTGTTTACTTTAAATAATTACTTTTATTCAATTATTTTTTCGATTAATATGCAAAATATATAGAGTCATTCAACCAGAATTTGGCTACAGCTGAGATAAAGTAAGATAGCAAGTATACCGGTATCTTGTCCCATTATTAGATCAACGTACCACACAATGTTGCGGATGTTAATATAAACTCCTTGTCGCGTAATTGTATACGTAATTATATATGTAACTTATTTGTTAGTGCAATGCATTCTATTTATTGCAAAATAGATACATATGCGGGCTCGTTGGAAGTTTCCAAGTTCCTTCGGTTTCTATAATTTATGCTGCAGCTTATTGGTTGGCAGATGATATCGAACATAATTATAATCCCCACCTCAAAAAGATGTCTCACTTTTGCAACTAAAATAATTATATATTTTAAAATGTATTATTTTTTTCCGCAAAAAGTTACAAAAAAATTTATTTCACTTTTAATTCAACTTATTATTCAAAATGTAAATGATGTAAAGGTAATAAATCACTGATGAATGCAAATTATACTATATCTCTTCTTTTTTACTTCACTGAAGAAAACTAATAATGAAAATTAATTTCATTATATATTTATTAAAATTCATATGCATATTTTGCATTTATATGTATAAAATGTAAAGTATTTAAATGGTATGTATATCTTTTGGGATGAACTTGGATACTCTGGGATATCTTTGGATACTCTAGGAAATGTATGAATCTTAACAAGATAACAATTTAATGTCTCTTGGTATTATCTACAAGAGATACAATTTTGGTCATCTTTGAAAAGAGCGATGCTACAATCAGGGAGAGAAAATCTGGACGCGTTGAACATCAGTCGATGGTATAGAACTCGACAGTCTACACGCGATCAATACAAACTTCTAGGAAGTACTACCATCTCTTCCTAGTATTCAGAAGCTCGTCATGGAAATAATATCTGCAGTGCTTCACTATATTCCCCCAAAAGCTGTTTGTTTGATCGATAATAAAACTGGATACCTTCAGTAGTCCATATCGACAATCACAGGATGTCATCAGAAAATGGTTTAATTAAATATAAAAATTTTATTAGTGCAAATAACCTCATCAATCTATTACAGAGGCGTGAAAAATATCATAAAAATCTACAAGATGTCTCATCCATCAAAGCAGTCTAGACATGGCTACACAATGCATAAACTACGTGTTGTAGATGGAACAAAGTACGTTAATTAAATATACAAATAATATAGAAGTACAAAAAAGCTCATATCAGTTTTTGCTACAAATATAATTTTTAAGCATTAGAAAAATTTTATCGTTAATCACATTTATTGCATTAATACTTGAAGAAAAAAATCTGTAAGATAATTAATAATTAAATCTATAAATATATTAAGTATTTTATTAAATTATAATGACATATTGAAAATTATTAGATATTATTAGATTATTAGAATCTTTTTCTCATAAATAATGTATAATCTTGCTATAGATGGGACTATTCTTTTCCTAAGGCAAAAACATACTGGAAGAAGTTTTGCGACGATGAAGAAAAAAGGTTGATTAGAGTAAGAGATTCATTTCCAAAATCGTCCTATCTTCCTATTATTCCTACTTTGAACGATTCAGAAACAGATCTTTGTAATATCGTAGATTTTAACGCTCCTTCCCAACGCTTCGATGAGAACGTACTTCTCGTAGATCCGAAATCCTTTAAAGCCACAGATATTTCTCCAAAAATAGACGATAAGAATACTCGTCCTAACATAGAACCGATAGTTAAAATTTCCCCTCCCACGCCATTAAAAAAGAGATTAAAACACGATGCGGTTACGATCACCAAGACAAACACAGAGGAACATATTATTATAAAAAATAAGCGTACGATAAAAGAAGAAGATTCATATGAAGAATCAGAGGCCCTAGATGTTTCTTCAAAAAATTCTATCACGCCATATGACGGATCGGGAGACGGAAAAGTGTATTCAAAAAAAACGTGTCCGCATCACAAACACGAACCTGCCATAAAAATTTTCGACGATGATATCGAGAAATATTTGAGAGACGATCCGAGGGCTAGCATGTCATCGGATCAGAAATTGATTAAATTGCCGCTATTGCAGAATGCTTCTGATAAATATGATAAAATCAAAGGTAAAATAGCCTCTGTCGAAAATAAAACGATTAAAGAAATTACTTTGGCAGACAGGGAATTGAAATGTTATCCGGATAATGTTAATATTGATTTAACCGAAAAAGAAATTGCAAAAATAGAATTTAAAGAGGATAATGTATTAGATAAACGCCGTAATTTTAAACCTGATTTTCTTACATCAGATTTTAAATTTTCTCTTAGCAAAAAATCAAGAAAAGACAAAGAAATCAGAAAAGATATGAAAATTGCGTCATTTCCAAAATCGTTTCAGTCTAAAAATGATATTAAAACATCCGATAAATTAATAACAAAATGTCCAAAATTGCAGAATAATTTAAACATTCCTAAAACTGAAGAAAAGTTTATCGATGAATCAAAATGACTAGAAACAATATCTAATATTCAAATGCAATCTATGAAAACGATCGATAGCAAAACGCGAGAATTCTTAAATTATTCAAAGCAATGCGCGTACAAAGCTCTGAAACACATGATGCTGGAAAAAAATTTAAATTTCAAGCCCGAAATCTGGGAAGAAATGTCGGAGGTATCGCGCGCTTCCACCGACAGATCGATAGTAGATACAGACGACAAGTCAGACGTGGCCGAGAGCGAAAGTCCCGAATCCGGGACTCACAGCCCGGAGTCGCCTTTTTTCCGCGAAATGCAGAGGAGATTGAGAAAAACATGGGCTCCGAATATCGGGGAGCAAAGCATTCGGTATAAGCTCTTCAGATCAAGCTCCAGTAGGTCCTCGATGATCCTCGCGAAATCGTTGGCGAGGTCCTCCTTTAGCACAAAATTCGCCAGATACGAAACCAGGGAAAGCCGTTCGGCGAACATTTTAAGTGCTATTCCAAAGGTGTCGTGCTTTCAACGCAGGAACCGCGACAGATGCTTATCCTGCATGCATAAATCCCTGCGGAAGACGGACGCAACCGACAAAGCTGTCTCCTCGCAAACGATATTGCTAACGGAAATTGAGGCGAGAGACGACAGCGAGTCCAGCTCGGGCGAACTTCCGGAATTTCGCGAGGAATTACGGAAGATATATTTCCAAAAGAAAGATATTCCGAAAAATCTGGACAAAATTGAGACTCTATCGGACAAATCAACATCTTCCTCGTATCAAGCGGAACAAGAAGATACCGTGATTTCGACACCAAAGGTCGAATCGAATCAATCTAAGAACAAAACAGCAAAACCTGCCGAAAGCTTGCTATCGAAGAGTCCAAAGAGTTTGAAAGCCACTTCCATTTCCATCTCAATATCGTCGGAACCATCGAAAATTTCGTCCTCGGAAGTGCATACTTCTGACGACGAGACATCATCGCCGTTGGCATTGGACGACGATCCGTCGCGATACAAAAACATGGCGCCCTGTCACTTGCCCACAGTTCTACTGCCGAGTATGGAGCCTTTACGAGCTCTGAAACACAGAAGACCGACCACCATGGAGTCGCGAATCGCTCTTATGGAGAGTACGATAACAACGAAGGAGAAATCTGACGAGGAATATTACGATGACGCAAAACCTGCGGCCTCAAAAACATCGACGGAAAAATTGCAGCCAAAACCGGTCGGTGAAAAGCCTGAAAGACTCGGCGAAGAAAAGGATATATTCTTAAAGAGCCCGAGAACCCTTTTGAAAGTTAAGTCAGAGCAGCAGCTGATACCGCCAATCGTAAAATCTGCGCCAAAGGACAAACTAAAGAGGGGATATAGTTGCGCGAGCATCGAGGATTTATCGAAAGATCCTGCGAGAGGTACGTTCAAGAGTTCTCGAGGCGAGGCAGGAGATGGGCGAGAAGTAATCTCTTTCGCGGAGATAGATTTCGCGAAAGAGTCGGCCTTCTCTGACTCGGGGAGACGGACGGAATTACCGCTGTCAACGATCGCCGAAATTTCGCAATTTCTCGAGAAAACGAATCGAAGGGACGCGTCGGCCGCGATTATACTGGAAAGTTTGGCGGACGAATTCATCTCACGACTGATAAAATACCACGAGCACGCCGGCACGACAGCGTCGATGAGGCGTGCTAAATTAACCGCGAGATTAACAAAACTGCTGGCAGACTCGAAACGTTATTTGAACCCCGATAAGTTCCCGTCTGACCTTATTTTCTCCGCGCAACAGCCTCCCGCTTGCAACTCCCGTTTACTAAGACGTGTTCTGCCGCTCGATTCCTACAATCTCGTCGCGCCATTATTGGGCATGCCAATTTGGTATCCAAAAAGAATAAAAAAAGAGAAGGCTGTGGTGCATTATGAGAAAGAGCGAGAGGAAGAGGAAGAAGAAGAGGAAGAGGAAATAGAAGGTGCGATTCCCTTCGACTTAGTGGTACGTACGTCAAGAGATTCTATAACTATCGATTATCCTTATTATTATATTAATAGAATTCATAAAATAAATTTAAAATCGATTTCGCCCACTTATGAAAATGTTACATAATTAAAAAATTTTTAATATACAATTACATTTTTTGATAATTATCTCGTTTAAGTCAAATCTTTATTAAAATAAAATTTAATCGGAATTAAATTACATTTTTATTATACCATATATATTTTTTACGCGTCAGGCAAAAATGGATTAAAGATAAAGTAAAAAAAATGCAATATTTTATTTAATATTCTGAATGCTATCATTGTTCGGAGACTCAATTCGCTTTGTCGAGAGTCACCAATTGAAAGTAAGCTTTTATGCGCTCGCAGGTGCATCCCCCGACGACCAAAGATATTTCAACGAAAGAAGATGAGCACAAAGTAGGTCAGATGCGATCAAATCCTTATGCTCTCTTTTTGAAGAAACCACGACGCAAGGTACGACGAGAGACAAAATAATATTACCGACTTCGCACACTCTGAAATCATTGTCCGCGTTCTTTTAATTCACAATCTACCAACGCAGGTCATCACTTGGCGTCCATTAACAGCGGACGATCTCAAAGACTACGATCCCGAGGCCACTCTCGAAATGAGAGCCAAAAATATCACAGACAGAATATGCCACGACTTTTGCGAATGGCTGCGCGATTTAGGCGGTACCGATAAAGTCATCGACGAGGAAGTCCTCGGAGATATGTTCGAAATTGACTTCACAGCTGAGGCCAGTAGAACGATGGAGGTAGATAGAAACAAAGTGCGAAACGAACGCGAATCGTTATGTAATTTCGCGGTTCTCCCAAAATAGTCTTATTGCAGTAATGTGATGCATGATATAACGAGTAGTACGCGACGTACTTTCCGCTGCGGGACGAACACATGCGGGATTTGAATTATAACTTTAGCGTGAGATATTAGGAGGCCGACTGCGTTTACATCTCGCAAATAAAACGCGTCTTTCGTGAAGAAAGTGATTCTTCTCCCGTGAAAGAATATCGCGACTATATATTTAATAAATTAATATAAAAATCCAATTTTTTAATTTAACAACATATCAATAATTGATGGTCATCGCACATCAGTGATCGTCGTTTATTAATACTTATTATGTTACTAATGTTTATTAATATTCTAGCATTATTTATCATATTATATTTAATTTCTTTCTTAAATAAATCAGAGTAATTAGGTAAGAAACTTTTTCATATTGTTATGTCGTGAAATGCTAAAGACATAGAATTTCTTCCCGTGACATGTTTCATTATATTAATTACGCGCCTCTGTTTGAGACAGATGTCGATGAAGGAAATGCCGATGGTACCCAACGGGGTAGCCGCAGCGAGACAATGTCCTGATGCAAGCGAGCTTGCCATGACCAGGAAGCATCTGATTAGAGATGCTAAAGCTGAGAGTAAGCCGGTCAAAACAATGGCGTTTGGCACCGCGATACCCTGGAAGCTTCAATTTGTACCTCCCGGAAATCGGGTGAGAGAGAGATGGCTTCGCTGCGAAAACGTGATGCCAGATCTAGAGACGATGGATGTGGTCTGGGACGGCATAACGAATCTGGAAAGCGTCAAAGCTTTCGCGAAATGGTTCGGCGAGCATTCGAATGTAAGTTTGTCTTATTAAATCGCGCTCTAAAGGATGGATTTTCTTATTAATTGTGTACGTTATGTTTCAGATTTCGCTACCGGATGCACTGATGAGGGCGATGACCACTGATCCCGTTAAACACGCCATTAACGCCGACACTTATATGCAATTGGAAAGGGACGTCGAACAAATTGGTAATTTGAAAGTTCGCAACGACCATCAAAACTCGATCGCATGATGATGTAATCGACGAGGAGGATCAGCGCGTGAAAAGAGATCCGTCGACACTCCAAGTTGATTCCGTCATCGCGCCTGTATATCGGCGCCAAATACGTTCGTGTAACCGATACGACCACATGATGACACGACGCAGAACGCCCATTTCCTGTATGCGGCCAACGGTTAACCTCCGTAGCCGCCGTGGATGCTTCAATCGCAAACAATTCCCAGCGAAATTTCGACAAACGTTCAATTACGAAACCTAATTTTCTGCTAATGATCGTCGCGTTTAGCCTCGCTCGCGAATTGTAACGTAAATAGAAATCAAATCATTTTTTTTTGTTCGTCGGATTTCGTTCGTATCTCTCGAATCAAAATATATGGATCGTTAAAAGGCGCGAGCGTTTATACCTGGACCATCATTCCTGATTTCGCGTGTAGATTGGATTAACAGTCCGATTTCACGGCACGAATTAATTCATTGGCAACGCAGCGCACTAATGCCTTGCATTTCACTGCACCAATTATCGATCACTCAAGTTTCATTGCATCGAACTTCATTAAATACGCGCGCATATAATAATAATTGCAATATTAATAACATTCATTCATTAATAATAGCAATCTGTTATCAATATACATGATAAGTAATCGGCAAAATACATATTTTTTTCGACAATAAAAAAAGTTCTATGATATATTTGAAACTTGTCAATTTTAATTAAAAATGAAATCATTGTAAATATAAATAACGATATATAAAAAACAATAATTCCTCGAAAAAAAAATAATGAAATGACAACGCAAAACAAAAAGCAGGTGGATGAAACTTAAAGCCGACGATTTCGCATCGACGAGTTGTCTAGCGAAATAATGTAAACGAGCCGGGATGAAATATTGGAAACGTATCACAGACGCCGGATGTCCTGACAGTGTCTGCTTACGACAGAAAACGGTGCCTTAGACCCGCTGGTAACGGCGGCAGCGAGGGAGAAAAAAACCTCGGAGCTCGCCTCGTTTGTGCGATATATCCTCCTCGTTGTGGGACGCGTATATTTCCTCGCTATAATTTTTCTCTCGTTTCTCTCGCGCGCGATATAGCGCGTCATTCAAAATTATATCGCGTCGACAAACGAAGAGTCATTATAGCACGACGAGATGTCGTAGTAATGGCTAAAATCGCCGGTCTCGCTTCGATAATATGGGTCGAGGCAATACGAGGCGAGAACAAAAAAAAAGGGTCCAGAGAGGATTCAGAGAGAAGAGCGATACGATGAGTTTGCCGCTTCAAATCCGGCTTCTCTCACTCTCTTTCTCTTTCCACTCCCTTTCTCTCCCTCTGTTTGCTTTTAATATTTGCCTAACTTTTTTCCTACATACCAGCACATAAAAACATAAAGCGTTATTTCGTTTTGCGTTGCGCGCTTCGTTAAATATTTGGATACTTGGCGGTATTTAGATGGCACGTCAAAAAAAAAGTGATTAACCCATTTCCCTCAGATATTTCATTTTTTAAACATTTCATCGATTTATTTTCTTAAACGGAATGTTTAAGTGCAATCCGATATGCTTACTAGTGCAATCTTTATTAGATATTAATGATTACGAAAATTCAAAATTGTTAAGTAAAAATCTAGAAAAGCTCGTTAGACAAAAGAACTAAAAATTTATCATTCAAAATGTTAATAGTAATTGAATCATAATTATATATTAACATATATAAATATATAATTAAAATATATTATTTCAGTAACATATTCGTTCCTTATAAGAAACAATAAATCTCCAAAAAAAAATTAACTCGAGAAAAATAGATTAGCGCATTTTTTTTCGATAATAATCGTAACTGTTCAGTCGTCGATACTAACGAGAATGCTACTGAAAAATCTCGAACTTGGAAGATACAACCCTCATTGTTTTTTTTTACCCCTTTCCGAGAAATCTGCCGGTGAGTCACGAACTTTACGAGAAGAAGGAAAACGAGGGAAAGAGGGGCTTCTAAAAAGGAGACAGAAAGGGAATCGGAAGCGTACCGAGTACGACCCGACGGACAACTGGACGAGAGGGCAGGAGAGAGAAAACGAAGGGAGAGTTTAGAGTCATCATTGGCCATTGGCCATCCGTTTCGCTCCACTTGGGACGAAGGATCCCGTTCGACCGAGAAATTTAACAAGGCGCACGCTCCCGACTGACAATAGCCAACTTTCCTGATCCCCGCGCGCGTACCCGGGTTTTAATTACTTCAATTTGAGTCCGAGCTTGCCCCGCGATTTGCGACGAGAATTCGACCGATAGCCGATTTGAACTTAACGATTTTTATATAGACTGTCAGTCCCGAAAATAGAACATGCATTGGATGGTGTTAGATAAAAGTGAGTTAACTCGCCGGACGCTGGTTTCGAATCAAGAACGCAGAATTTCGCCACATCGATCCAACTATATATAACAAAATACGTTGCGCGAATTTTATCACAGCTGATTTTTTATAACGTATTTTATATCATTGATTCAATCAAATATAGCGATTGCAAACTGTTACTGTTACTTTTATCGGATTTAATCGATTCGATTGCATGTCAAGAAGACTCTTTTTATATCTTATCACGAAGACTAAAGCAAATTGAATTTAATTCGTGTATCGATTTCGATTAAAATTATGCAACGCAAGAGAGAGATAAAAATATCGATATACGCATCATTTCTCGTATAATTTTCCTTCAGCTGTTCCCAGCGCGAGAGTTTATATCACGCGATAAATTCGCGTGACGTTACATTCTCACGATACGTAGCTCGCTATAATATACGCGATTCATTCTCGATGGCTTGTGCAACTATTGGGCGCGCACGCCTCTATTGCATAATACGCCATGAATGTAAAATAAGACGCGGTCGCTTCACTCGTTCGTTCTCTCGATGATTATCGTTACCGTTATTGTGGAGCATTTTTGAAAAAAAGCCCTCATTGAAAGCGACACTTGACATTTCGATCATCTTATTCAGCTTCATCGCACAACTGCCGATACCGAGAGAATCCTAAGTGCGCGAGCAATCGAATCGATCGTGCTGTGTCTTTTTTTTAGTCTCTGCCTCTTAACCCGTATAAAACGAGACCTTTTCAGATATTGTTCACAATTATTCAAGTAATATTTCGAAATATAATATTTTTCACAGAACTGCTTGAAATTAATAAACAAGCGTCTGCTATCTCAAATACAATAAATGTAAGAAGGTGTGGCGAGTCTGCGATATTTTGTACACACGTCAGAGATACGGAGCTACCGGGCGATTCGCTTCGTTACCTGCGAGCGATATACGACAGAGAGAGCAAAATACACACACATACACATACCCATTCACAAATCAGATGAGAAACGCTTCCTGCCGACTGTTCGAGCTCGTTCGACCTATTGTCATAAAGTTCCCGATAGTATACGTTGTCAGCGCGACGCCTACGTAAATGTATAAGTGCAGTAATAATAATGAATGAATAAATGCTAATCCATGGAAACTATCAGATCAAAAGCAAAGTATTCTTGCTTTCGGTGACGTCATTTTTTTTTCCGATTATTTTGTGTATGTATTTCTAATTAAAACTTTAAATTTGCTTTTCATATTCTTGTTTGTCCAGGAATTCTGTGCGTAACACGCATTGAATGAAATCCAATTGAATTTTCGAGACATCTAGGCCAATAGGTATATAGCGGATAGCGACTTTTTCCGTATGTTATCTAAAATAAAATCGACAAGATATACAATAGAGGCTCCCATGTATAAAGTGCAGATTAAATAAAAAGTAGGAGAAAATTATACGGAGCAAAGCAAGCAACCAGGTAAACGATCAGAGATAAATAAATTTGAAAATTTATGCATATCATTATACATACATATATTATACGAAATTCACGATAATATTTCTTTACTTGTTTGACTCTCATTTATATTAATTTCGAAGTGAAGACTGCATTTTTTTTTTAGAGACTATGATTTTTAATAAATGATTGTTACTTCATTGTTATCTACTCGATTACTGCACTTACCGAATGATTTTGTTTCAATAAGAGAAAGAACACGGCTTGTTGCGATTTATCGTCGGATTCGAGGAACTCTGCGCGATTCCGTGCAGAGGATTACCGCTCATCGTAATGGGCTTCGTCCAACATCCGGTCGCATCCGGAAGGCCGCGCCCGTCACGGTTGCTCCCGACGTCGTTACATCAGCCGAGCTGCGCGACGAGGCGCACGATTCTTCTGTTTCGCTCGTGCGTCACGTAGTATTGTTGTTAAAAGTATGCCGATGGCGACTACCACGCGACACACCGTGCCAGTCTATCGATATCCTTTTGACCTGAGTGACATCCCGATAAGCCGCGGAAGCGAGTAACGAATCGCATCTCGCGGAAAGAAGTTAGTCAATTTTCGCGGAGTGAAAAAGGTTGACAAGCAATCGCTTTCTCGTTTCAATCGTCAATTTCAATCTTAATTATCGAAGTTCGCATCAAGAATCTTCTTACTTTGTATTGATTCCTTTTTAAATTTGTCTTAAAATCAATAAGTCTCATATCTCTTCCTTTATTTATTAGTTCCTGTATTTATTTATTAATTGTTTAAATTAAACCACATTAATTAATTATGTGTTGAAGATCAATTTCGTAATGTAAGGCTGATATAGCTGATGTAAAGTGACCAACCATATGATTTTTATTTCTCTCTCCACGCTTCGGTAAACGTGTAATTTTAACGAAGTAACAGTGCACTGATGAGGCAACGAGTCGTTTCGTTATTATGTGCAAAAGTGGACATTAAAATCGCGCGAACTGATGCACGTTTCTCCGATTGTTAAGCACGAGATGCACAGAGGAATCTTTACGGCGGAACAATTCGAGGGACAGCCAGGACACGTGACCAAGGAGCTTCTCATCCGTCGAACGTGAGCAAAATAATTAGACAGAAACATAAAAGAAAAGACACGACAAAAAAAGGCGCTGATAGCGTGAAAAATTCTTTTTCGACGCTCTTCCGACCGATTTAATCAGCCTCAGTAAGATACATGCTTAGGCCTTGCGTTAATTCATCGTCTTTACGGTGATGAGCTGTAATAAAAATTGCTCAATATATTTTTAAGAATAATGGCTCGACAATAATGATTTTTGAGACAACTCAATCATAATTTTCAGACTTTTACAAGATTAACATTGAATTTTTATCAGTTATTAATTGTTCGAACATATAAAATTCTACGAGTCTTTTTTTTAATCAATATTTGACTAAAATCTATTCTTTTCTTCGCGCGATTCTTTCCAATTTTTAATATTAATTATCTTGATAACTAATAAATCAAAATTTTAACACACACATATAATAATAATTTAAATAAATTATCTTATTTGCACGCCGCGATTTGCTAAAATTCTAGTTTAGTTGGCCTAATCGTTGTTAGCGCGACGATTAATGTTACTATCAAATTAACCTTAGGTTAAGCCGTCGTGTAAATGGAATTGCGAGACGACCGAGCAAATTACCCAGTTGCCTCTAGGGCGGATATTGCGCTGCTCCGAATTATCGATTGTGAATTCAAAAAGCGGCCGCGCAATCGGAGGGGACTTTGAAGCACGAGAGCTTCCATGTATTCCGGCGAATACTTCGAAAAGTTATTACGAACGAAGTCCCAATTAAACTTCCCCGTGATTACTTCTCTAGCGGACGGTTACAAGGACCATGACATCTGCTAAATATACGGAACTCTTGACGTGGCTTGTATGATATAATTAACAGAGATTTAAAAGTATACACGCGTTGATGAAGACTGCAGATCGTTAAACCGATTCATCCATTATATATATATCAATATATATTTTCTCTTCTATAAAATACTAAAATTATATCTGGGTAGGATATTTACATATGTTTTATTATAGAATATAACTCTGAAAATAAGATATAATATCTTTACGAAATGATTCAAGAATATCTATAGTAATTTAAATTTTTCTTATTCAAGGATTTACATGGCTTATAAAATATTAATCAAACAAATCTGCGAAATTTAAAAGCTATGTATTTTCTAGATTTACATTATCTGAAACATTTTAAATAATTAAATAAATAAATTTGTTATGTAGAAAGTTATATAATTTTTTATGCTTCATTAAAAAAATATTTATAATTAATTAATAATTGAAAACAATCATCATAAACAAAAAGAATCGAAATATTTATTTAGAAAACTTTCAATTATTATTTTATTATGGAATTAATAAAACTTTATTGTGTTAACTCTTACTCTGAAGTTTTAATTAAATGTAATGTGAACAACTTTTAAACATAAACACAAATGAAATTTTGCATAAATGGTAATTTTGCATAATAGTATTATAATTTATTTGATTTATCTTTGATAAGTTATTTACTTAATCTTTTTATAAAAATTAGCTTCTGCTAATATTTTAAAACATATACATATTTAACTGAAGGAATCTTAACTTTCCGTTGCAATTCTAATGTTTTATTTTAATTATAAACAATTATTGTTATAATTTACTATTTATTGTAAACTTTGATAAAGTAGCTGTCGGTCGTAAATAAACTTAGCTTTATAGAACCGGATTACATAGTAATATCGAATCGTGCGAGTCGTAAGTGTAGACCGCAAGCGTTTCCGTTATCCAGTTGTAGGAAAGCCGGATAACGTGGCGCACAGTCCTGGCTCCTGTCCCATTCGATCCTTCCAGAGCTTCGCGAGGTAGTTCTCCGCCCGTTTCGTATTGGAATGCGGGTGTTACGGAGAATCCATAGGGAACTACGTACTGCATCTGCAGGACAGTAACGTGACTACCGGCGTCATCGTAGAGAAGGCCACAAAATGTATTTACATATCGAGCCTTGGTCAAAGCCTTTACTTTGCGCGGCTGTCCGCTATGCATCGGAGACGTTCACGACACCTCAATCTCTTATTCGACCGAATTTAGAATGAGCTCGTCCTGCATCGCATCGTCAATAGCGACGCCCGACATTGCGATAACGATTATTAAATCAATCTTTGATGACGAATTTCTGCTCTTTTTATAAAATGTTGTGATGTAAGAGAATTGAGAGAGATGCAAGCGAATTAGAAAATTTAATTTGAAAAGTTATTTAAAGATGTGGGATAATTTTTTGTAAACACAAACGAAAATTTAAAAAATTTAAAGGGATAAAAATCGTAAGTAATTTTAGCAAAAAATTCGCGATATAGGAAAAAAATAGTGCAAAAATTCAAAAAGAAAGAAGTATAAAAGAAAATGGCAAGACAAAAAAATTCAGTCTATTCAATCAATAAATTAATAACTCGTGTATCATATTTCTACACAATTTACGAATAATTTAAGCAAAGATGAAAAAATATAAATCAACCGATAGTGAATTATTTGCGTTGTATGTGTGTGTATTTCAATATAAAAGATTATTAAAAAATTTTATTTAGGTCAAGCATAAAGAGAGGGAGAGGGAGTAATAAATTTTTAATTTAGGAAATTCAAGCGCAGTACATATAATGTCCAACTTATACATCAATAATAATAACGCTAAAATATCGTTATATACTGCTTAAAGTCGCATTACTCTGCTGCAAAACTGACGTGCGCAGCAAAATGGAACTTTGCCTCAGAAATTGGCTCCTCGCCTTCTCGACGAGTTTCTAGTGCACCGGGAAATTCCATTTTTCTTTTTTTGTCTCTCCAGCTATCTATCGCTCGTCGATATAGTACGTTCTCCTTTCTCGAATTTCACATGCATCGTATCGGCGATCGATTACTTGTTAAAGTGCGGTTAACGAGTGACAACGAAATTGTCGTGATAACGTTTGCATTTAGACAGGAGAAGGAAGCCCGGGTCGCCCGGCAAATGGCGATGGGAGCTCGCGATTCTCGCCATTTTTCACCATTTTCAAAAGCTATAAGCCCGTGGGATCGAATCCCACGGCAAGCATCCCGCGGCGAAAGCCGCGCTCGAGCCGGTTCTCTGACAGGCGAAGGGGGGTAATTGCGCGTCGGTGCTGACTTATAGCTTCTAAATCAGTGTCGGCCGGATTCACCCCTTGTGCCATCGCCTCGTGCCAAACAACCTTTGCGAAACTTTCGGGATAAAGCGACGCTCGGTTTCACCGCTGCTCGATTACGGGCGTGTCGACCAGACACGCTACCGATAAGGATGTCGTCGATCGATTTATCGTTCAAAAATAATAAGACAGACAATCTAAAAATAACTTTATACATTTTTTCTCTCGGTATGAAAAATTAAGGAAAGATATCGCGATCGACAAATTTGACGTTGGAAGAGAACACATTAATTTTGACATATCTCGTGTATCAACAATATTAAGAGAGTAGTCTTTCTCGTGATATAATACATATAAATTTTCTCGTTCTCATACGTAAAAATTTGCAAAGATTTGCAAAGTTCTATCACATTCCATCTGCCAGGAAGCATCGACAGCCGCTAAACCGAGTTTGTCGGCGAACAATTAGCCAAGTTTCGATTGTGTTCGCTTTCGCGTTTCTATTGCGGAAGTATCGCGAATCTTTTAGGCAAGAGAAAGAGGGAGATAGAGCAACGAGATTCCGAGCCTCCCTCGCTTTTCAGCGGTTGAACTTTATTTTAAGCGATATTTCTCTCTAATTATCTCCGTACTATGCGAGAGGCGCGAGCCGCCGCTATGTTTACGGCGCATGTTGGGCGCGTCTCGAAACTATAAACATTAAAAAGGATCGAGGCGCCAAAGTTAGCGCCCTCCACCTCATCCTCCTGCATCTCATCTACTTGCTCCTGTTTCCTTCCCTTACTGCTCTCTTCCTTTCGCTCTGGAAACTGAAGAACTTCCAAGACCCATTTCGAGGGAAAACTTGGAAAATTAAACGCCACGACGGTATTGCCTGTATCGTTCAACACTGGAGAAAAAAACGGTAGCAAATGGTTAACAATAACGCGCCGAGGTACATCGCCGATTCCTAAGTATCGCATTCGTACCTGATAACGCATCTGCGTACGCGGCTTGCGATACGATTCTAATAGCGACGCGGTTAACTTTTTAATTGAGAAAAGTGAAATACATAAACCTCGCCTGAAAATGGCGCCGTTTGGCTTTACGAGCGCTCTTTATCCTCTGAACGCGTGTTTCGCGCGCAAAAACGATCCTATCAGATAATATATAGGCTACATAACCGGAACTTTTTCAATGTCCGAGATTTTCATGTTGAACACGCACCTGTCAGAATTTCATATAATGGCTAAAATTGTTCTCGCGTAATTTAAATAAGTTCACGATTGAGCCTTGTCGATACGGCCTTGTCTCCACACAAATGCGGAATAGAAATAGGACAGAATAAAATTAGCGGAATCTCCCGGGAACGCCCAAGTAATTATGTGTAATTTATATTACTCATCATTGATATGCAAATCATGCGGACCATACGTGCCCATTATGCCATCTGTCACTCTAATTCCATCGTTTATCTAGAGTTCTCTTGCCGCCATTTTTTTCCTTCGACACATTGTATGTTCGAATTGGGAAAAATCGTAAAGTTGCTTCAATTTTCTAAAAAAAAGTAAAATAAAATTCACGTAAAATAAATAGCTATGCAAATTTTTAAACTCGAAATTAAACAATATCTCGAAGAAGCATGTTTTTTTAACAGTTTAATACTACATATCTAGTATTAAATACGCGTTATACATCGCGCGACATCATTCAATGTTTAATATATTATATTTCAACAATTCGATGTTTGAATTATTAAAAGAAAGTACTTTTAATAATTTTAAAAAGCTTAATGAACTTTTAATGAACTTTATTTATAAGAGATCCGAAGAGAAAAATATAAAAATGATTGATCGAAATAGATGAACTTTATTCCATCGTTAGAGCAAAATTGATTGACCAATCAATGTTGTATTACATTAACATAACATAAATATTTAAATCTGTATGACTCGACGCAGATGCTAAATATGTCATAATTAAAGCTCGCGTTATATTCTCATGAAAGACAAGTAGACTACAAATTTATCAAAGAATCTATCATTAAAAGACAAAGGCGATGAACGTGGGAGAGAAGGAGAGAAAGAAAGAGAGAAAGAGGGAGCCGTAGTATAACAACGCGAGCGCACGACAAACGGCGAGACAGAGAGAACGAGAAAGGATGCCGACGGTAGAAGAACAGAGAGGCGACAGCTTAGATACGGCTGAATTGGTCAGTGGCGTCAGTCTTTTGATCTAAACTAAAATACAAGCCCGAAACAACGGCCAAAGCAAATCTGCTCAAAGTGCCTGTCCTCTTCAAAGTACTTGGTTTCGTCTATCTCGCTTCGCCCCGCGCGCGATGGCATACCCCAATGACCAATTATCTTTGTATCTTTGCCGATGACAAGCGAACCGCGAGTAAACTGTCAACGGGGGGGAAAGGGTTTAGGTACGTGTCGGTCTATCGGATAAGGGGGTTGGTACACACTGACTCTCCCTCTCCCTCTCTCTCTTTCTCTCTTTCTCTTTCACTGTCGATCATTCTTTTCTCCTCTCCTGCAATCTCTTCTCGCGCGTTTTCTTTTCTTTTTTTTTCCCTCTTTTCGCATTCCTAATTTCATTTTCATCGGTCGTCGGTTCTACGCGCGTTTTGTCGTACAGTTCAGTCGAAACAATGGTTTGCCTCGAGGCGAATCAAATCGAAAGCGAATTAAATCTCCCTGCCATCCCGCGCTACCCTTTTTCCCCCCTTCTCGCAACTTGTGACTCTTCGTCTTCGAGAAAGGTACTTCGAACGTCGAATTTAGGACGAGACTTTAATTGAAATCCGCGTGTCCGTTTAATTATATTTTCTACTTTTTTTATTGCGCAAAACAATGTTTTATTATTACGACAGTAAATCTTAATGTTATCGAACAGTAAGTCTTAATGTTATTCAATATATTATTATCAAAGAAATTTTTTTATATATCTGAAACTTATCTGTACATTCTTTCATGATACATTCTACTCCGATAAAAAATTTTAAAAGCAAATTAATTAAAATATTACAGGACACTCTCTCTCTCTCTTCCTAATAAATAATGTTATTATACAACTTGATATCAACTAATCATTTTATATACTTTGTAAATAATTTCAATGCACTGCTATAAATATTATTATTAGATATTGATTACAAAATTCCGCTTTAATTAGGAAATAATGAAAAATTAAGGAAGAATATTTTTCCAATTTCATTATCAAAAAATAATTTATCAAAAAATAATTTATGTATTATATTAACGACAATATTCGGCTATCTAAAATATATTCATAAAATATATTTTCAGCCTTAAGAGAGGCAATAATTATAAGTGAAACAATAGCAATTTAATACTATGTAGCGAAGAGAAACCTTTCGTCCTAGCGCGATACGGCTTTAATTCGTGACATCTTATTCGGTCATCTGATGAATTCAGTGGTCGTTTGATGTTCACGACGCTTTAATATACTATGGTCGACTAGTCGGTCGGGAATCTACGTTCTTCCAAGCTCCCGAGCTTTCGTTTTGATAATGATTAACAGGACGGAAATTAACGAAGGACAGATTGGATCCATTTAACGCCATTCTCGTTACCCTTTGTCTGGAAATGCTGTACTTATATTTCTATAATTGATCGCATCCTTCTGAAGTGTCTATTCGATCTTAAAATACATTTTGTGGTTTTTCTTTGTTACTTTATAATTCTTTTTCCGCAAGTTATTACTAAAATATTAGAATGTTTCACCAACTACATTTTTTGATTATTTATTTTTAATTATACAAAACCCAAAAGAAAAGATTTGATGTATGATAAAAAAGAATTAAAATTTTTTAGCAAGCATCTCTCAAAGAGATATAATAGCTTAAATAACTCTTTGCTCAATTATTTTAGTAAGTTAACCTGTAGCCTTTTTCATCTCTTATAACTGGCAACATTACTGAAAAGAATCTTTTATTTCCAACAATTTCCTCTCATTAAATTTCATAAGACGATCAATCATCTCTCACCAACGAAAATTATATAATTTATATTACCAGCGACGACGTTTGTGATTTATAGGCGGCTCTAAGGAATGTCTTACTTAGGTACGAAGACAATTAAGAGATCGGCATGGTATCGCCGATTACATGTTATTAAATAGTTTACATTATTTCTACGATGTGCGACATGTTTTAGACGAGCCAAGAAATATGAAAATGAATCATAAATGTTAATCTAACGGCAGCACACTACATACTTGTACTTCCTTGATATGTCGCCTTTCATTTAATTTATCCTACAGGATCTAATCCCCTAGTAATAATCCATGTATCCCATGTTACGCGCATATACAAATCTGTACAGTAAACCGGGTCAATGACGTGATTCACATTTGTTAGCAGTACAATAGAATTTACTCTAAATATATACATACAAAAGTTACCGGCTATAAGCAACATGCTAACAGAGATAAAGCAATTTAATATCGAATTGATGTAATAATATCATGCTATATATAATTGCAATTTAAAAATTATTTTATTGCTCTGTTTAAAAGATAGATGAAAATATGAAAAAAAGACAATTTATTTTAATCTAATCTACCAATTCTTTAAATAAAATCTAGAAGAATTATAAAAATTATGTTATTTTATAGAAAATTTTTCTATAAAAAAATTGTGTTCTTATAAAACTCATATAAAACTTTATTATAAAAAAACAAGTAAATGTCCTAACGATGTACGAAACAATCCGTATCGGCGTGAAGCGAAGTAAAAGCTAAATCTCGATTTTGTGAATGTGTTGTTCTTATGAATTTTTTAACGAGCAAGTTTTTCTCGCGTGTCAAGGACCAGTCGCCGTTTCCGTTCGGCAGGACTCCAGCACGTTAATTCCGCAGGACGTTACATTAATTCCAAATTGGTTTCGGCCGGGCGGAGATTCTCGGCGTCGCGCCAGGCACGAAGGATCACCGATCCACGGAATACCCGGCTTAGTTCCGTCGTAATTACAGGCCAGAACGGGGCTTAGCCCGTCCTTATTTATACGCAAGCTAGGACAGCGACGCGACGCGCACGCTGATACTTCATTCCCGCTGCTTCCGTACGCTGCTTCGTATGCGTTTCTTATTAACTGTAACGCTGACAGGCAGATATTGTCCTCCCCGATCGACCTCAATGAGTGATCGAAGGCGACATTCTACGCGTTTGAAATGAAGAGATTGGAAACGATGTGACTTTAATGAGCTTGTTTTACAATTAGACACAAAAAAATAAATTATGTATAACTAATGATATATAAGTATGATGATTTCTACCGTTTACAATTCTACATCGAATCAATAATTAAACTCATCGAAGAAAAATTACATAATCGACAAATTCAAAGTCTCTTTGCCCCAGTTTGTTGTCGAAAAAGATTTTCTAGGAGTGTATCTATATCCTTTCATCTCCGACAGACAGAAGAACGACCATTATGGCAGTGAAAGAAATCGTGAAATTCCAAGCGCGACTAAGAGAGGCGCTCGTAAGGATCTCGAGAACTAGGTGGGGAGTATCTTAAGTACCACGTCGCTATATTTAGGACGCATCCTTATCTCCGACGACCCCTTCTAACCGCAGTTTTGAATCGTGGCGCGCGCGCCGGCGCTAAGCGTCGGTCTATGTCGGTGGTAATTCCGCACATGGGGCGGACAGAAAAGGGTGCATCGTCACGAGCGAGACAGGGATGGATGACGGATGGCGCAAACGGAGGGGAAACAGGGAGACAGAGGAAAAGAGTGAGAGAATGAGAGAAAGAGAGAGAGAGAAGGGAAGATGCTGAAGAAACGAGAGAAAGCAGAGACCTGGCGAACGACGGGATAACCCTCTGAGTGGTCAAAGGTGTCGAAGCGAGACGGTCGCGATGAGGGGGATGAAACTGTTCACGGGGGAAAAGGTGTCGTAATGAAGCTCTACGATGCTGAAGGATAAAACGAGATGGGAAGCTAGTAGAAGGGATAAGCAGAGACTGACAGAGACAGAACAGAAAGACCGTCAGGAAAAAAAAGAAGGAGAATCAGAGTCCCGAAGAAAGGAGCAAGAGAGAAAGAGAGAAGCGACTGAGGACGATACCATAGGCGAAAAAAGGAAGTACGTCGAAGGGTGGAAGGAAAATAGAGAAGGATTGTCACGCTCAACGTTTTGGTGGGGGGTGAAGGTGGTGGGGCGCGATGTGGAGCGGCGCGAAATAGGGGAGAAAGAGAAAGAGGGAGAGAACGAGCGAGCAAAGGATGCAAAACGAAGACGGAACGAGGGCGATGAGGAGGGGGCGGAGGAACGCGTAGGGACACAGAGCCATAAGAGGGTTGATGGCGGCCGGGGTTGGCCCCAGTAGCACAGTCGCGCGCCAAACTCCTGTAAGAAAACACGTAGCCGGTGATTCGGACGCGCTCATTCGCGCAACGACTCGTATCCCGGACGGATTTTTTTTCTCCTCTTCGACGGCGAAGAGTTTTAAGAGTTTGGACTGCCGATTCGTCATCCCTCTTATCGTCACGCGCTTTCGCGCTCGCAGTCCAGGAAGTTGGGC